CACACACTCATGCATGCGCACAAAGATAGACAGACACAGACCGACCATGTGTGTGTGTGCGTGTGTGTGTGGAGAGAGAGAGAACCCTCCTAGTAGGTACTGTGTTGGTGGGCGAATGGATACAGCTGTCAGCTCAGAGCAGGCAAAACCCAAGAGAGAACAACCTTCAACTGGTGCCCCCAAACCTCTAAACAACATGAGGAGGGCTTTAGCTACTTCTGCCTCAGCCTCCTTTCCTGATTTGGCACCCTCTAGATGTGTTGCACTCAACTGCCATTGTCGCTGCCACCCTATCCCAGTCAATGGTCTTGCTGGCTGTGGGTCATGGGAGTTGTAGTCCATTCTGTCAGGCAGGCTCCATGTCAGAGAAGGATGCAGCAGGAGTCCTTACAGAAAGGGAAGTTCTTCCCTAAATTATCGTAGGCATACCCTTAATCACTTCCAAGCCAGGGAGTTTTGTTTTACATATCTTCTAGCAGTGATTTCTGCAATTATGCAGATTTCTTCTGGAATCTCTTTCTGGTCCATTTCATTGAGGAGGATGAAAGAGAAAAAAACCTCCACCCCATGCAGGCATGTCCTCTCTTCATGTAGGCATGTAGAGCTTCAGGCTCTACAAAACAAGATTGCTCGTAGGGGCAATTCAAGTCACCCTGTAAGTTTTTGTCAGGTGATTTACTGTTGCGGGAAGCTCATCCATGTGATCAAATGATCAAGTGGGTAGAAGTGCATGGAAGCGAACTCCATTTTGCAAGTTGTGTTTGGGAATATAGGACTGGATTTAAGGGAAGGAAGGAAAGCAAATTGTGGTGGAGTGTTCTGAGAAGCCTCAGAAGAAGAGTTTGGTAATGGAACCAATTCAACAAGGCAATGGTGAATTCTCCCTTGCTGGAGTTCTTCATACCAGCTAGACAGCAGCTCTTGGGGATGCTGCATCAAGGAACAGGGGAGAGATTGGATGACATAACATATATGGCTCCTTTAAGTTAGTGACTTTTCTTCCATATGTCCCAGGCTTTCCTTCAAAGCTCTGAAAGCAGCCTATCCACTCTTCTCTTCTCATTTCATTCCTCCTTCAACCCTATGAGGCAACTGAATAACTCTGAGTGGAGGGCAGCTGCTGAATCCCTTTTGTACGGCCTCCTCAGTTCACAACTGCCAAACCAGCTTCCCACTATTCTGAGACAAAAAACACTTAAAAACCATAGTATATGGTGTAAAACAGGTTTAATGGGTTCAAACAACAACCAAAACAAAAATTCCCTTCTCCTCCCTCCCAATCTCAGGAAAACCAGAAAATCCTGACCCAGCCAGGTGTGTGATATGATCCCATCCACTTTGCAGTATTGCTTTCATTGCTGCAGTCCCCACCTTCCCCAAAAGTGTTCACTACCACCAGAAGTGACCCCCTTGGCTTAGCTGAAAGTCAACCAGCAAGCTTCATGGCTGGGTGGGGGAAGTTGATGTTCCACCTTCTCAGCTCCAGCCCAACTTTCTGAATCCTACATCACGCCATTTAGCCCTCTTTGGGCCTTGCTTTCCTTATGACAGGAGAGATTGAGCCATTCTGTTCCCGGCCCCCTCCCCGCCCCCCCCTCCCCCCAGGATC